CCTCCCAGCCCCAGCGCACGGGCTATGCCTCCTCCTCCTCTCACGGCACTTCCCAGCGCCGTTCCCCTTTCCGCGGTCGCCCCCGCCGTTCCACGTAGCAGGGCCGCCACTTCTCGCATCGCTTCAGCGCGCTGGAGTATGGTGAGCGGGATGCTGTTGCCCCACTGTCACCTGAGGGCGACCACAGCGACGACCTCGATCTCTGCGAGGCCGTCCACTATCACTTGGAGGACTCTACCCTCCCTGCAGCTGAGCGCCTTCAGCTCGCGCTCTCCGCCCTCACTTGGGCACGCAGCCGCCCCGGTCACGCTGGCGCGTCACCCCCCGAGGACCCTCAGGAGGACCTCCCTCAGGGCTTCGTCCCTCCTCGCGGTGTCCTTTCCGCTGAGGAGCGCGTGGCTATTCTGGGCCGACGTGGGTGTTTGCGCTGCCGCTTGGACGGTCATACCTCCTCGCGGTGCCCTTTTACTACCGCCCTCGACCGCCACTACGCTGATCTTTCTCGTCAGCGTCGTGCTCAGTTCCCCCCCGGCGCCTCCTAGCCATGGTGCAGTGTACACCTGCGCCCTCCTCAGTAGTGGGCTTCCCGACATCTCCGTCGCGGTTCGCCCCTCTCGCTACTGGAGTTGAGGTATCGCAGGACTCGACAGAGTGTACTCMGYCCTYTGTBGYAGTACCGTCTGCGCCTCCGCAGACCACCGTCTCCCCTCCTTCCCCGCCGCGACTACCGACGCGTCGAGCCATTCACTCAGCCCATTGCAGCGAGCAGCGTGCTACTCGCGAGGACGTTGTGTCCTCTCTTCTGGACTTGAGCATGCTCCAGGCTCGTCAGGAGCGACTCACCTTCCATGTCGCTGCACTGCGTCGCCTTCTCGCCATCCTCTCTGATCCTGATCGCACCCTCCCGATCATCCCAGTACGACTCGGGACCTCCACGAGGGTGTACTCAGCGCTGTGGGATTCCGGTTCTCAGGGCGACTTCATTCACCCACTCGTGGTGAAGGAAGCCCACTTACCCACGACAGGGTCTCCGACTCCCATCTCCGTTACCCTAGGGGATGACAAGACCCAGCGCTTCTTTGATCAAACGGTCACCGACCTCCCCTTCTTCCTCACTCTCGAGCCGACTGATCGTTCCCCGGCGTCTCGTCGCCACCGCTCCTCTGCACATTTCAATGTGATGGAGACGGGGTACGACTTCATTCTCGGCACTCCGTGGTCTCGTCGGTTCCGCACCACTGAGGCCGATTGGGCGACCAACACTCTCGTTCTCAAAACGAAGTGTGGACAGACGTATCGCGTACCTTTCATAGGTACCACGGCGATACCACGCCC